TTTAGCCCCCACCCCGGGCTCTGCCTGCACCCCTCAGCCCCCCTGGGGACCCCGCCACTGCACCGGGCCCTACCTGCTGACCCCCCAAGATCCTGCTCAAGCCCCCCCCCCCCCGAACCTACTTAGGGGTCCCACCCAGAGCCTCGCTTAACGCTCCTGCCACCTCAGCCCGGGGGAACCCCCGACCCGACCCGACCCGACCCTCCCCCCACATCGTCACCCCCTGAGCCTCGCGGCCCCTTTAAGAGCGCGCGGCCCCACCCCGCGCGCGCGATGACGCCACCGGCGCGCGCCTGCGCGCGGCCCCCCTCCCCGCTTCCTGCCCCGCCCCTTGCCCCCCCCCCCCCCCCCCCCCCCGCAGCGCCGCGGTGACACCGAGCAGGCAGCGCGCGGCGCGGGCAGAGCGGGAGCCGCCGCCGCCGGAGCCAGCGCCGCCGCCCCGCCGCCGCCATGAACGGCAAAGGCAAGGCCCGGGGGGCGCCCCCCGCCCCCCGATTTTACTGGCAGCACCCCCTCCCTGCCCCCCCCCCCCCCCCCCACCTCCGCGGCCCGGGACGCGGCGCCTTTAAGGGCGGCGCCGCAGCGCGTGACCGCGCGAGCGGGCTGGGGCCGCGCGGCCAATGGGAGCGGGGCGGGGGGGCGGGCGCGCGGGTCGCCATGGCGCCGCGCTCCTCGGCCCGGCCCTTAACCCTGTGAATGCCGAGCGCCTGGGGTGGGGGGGACGTCCCTCCCGTGACGTCAGGGGTCCCCGTTTTATGCGGGGAGTGCGGTCCGAGGTGGGGGAGACCCCCCCTTGCTGACGTAAGGGGATCCCCCGGATGACGTAAGGGGGACCCCAGTAAGGCGTCCGTGGGAGCTGCAGTGAGAGGGACCCCCCACGCGTGCCGCCATTTGATTGGGGGGGGGGGGGGCGCTGAGGTGAGGGAGACCCCTCCGCTGACGTAGGGGATCCCCCAGGTGATGTCAGAAAGCACCCCATTTTATGGCTGGGTGCGGGAGACCCCCTGGGTGATGTCAAGGGGGGGGGAGACCCCCCACGGGTGACGTAATGGGGACCCGTGGGGGTGGGAAGAGCCCCTACCCCGCGGGGGGTGGGGGGCAGGTATCGAGTCTGGTTTGTTTTGGTTTCGATTTAAGAATTTGTGAGTCTGAGCTCTGGCTACAGCCCAGAATCGTTTCTGGTTGGTTGGGTTTTGGTTGGGTTTTGTGTTCGTTTTTTTTTTTTTTTTTTTTTTTTTTCCCTCCTGGGTTTCCTGCCTTCTGGCTCCTAGTTCCGTCAAAGGATATTTTAACTCGGTTTTGGTTTTGCCGAGGTCTGGGCAGGGATGGGGGGGGGGGGGTCGATTGCCCAGGCAATACTGGGAGTTAACTGTGCGTGGATACTTCTAGGGCTGATCCTCCCTTCTGCTCCCCTGGTAGTTGAAAACCAGGGCTTTCCAAAAAAAAAAAAAAACAAAACCAAAACTCATCAGCATCGCGGCTGGCTTCATTTCCCCTTCGGGCTGAATTCTCATCTTTCTTGCAGGACAGTATCCCGCCCAGCCGTCCTACCCTGTCCAGTCCCCCGCCAACCCGGCCGTGTACCCGCAGACCGTGCCCCTTCCGCAGCCGCCGCCCTACACAGATGCGCCTCCTGCTTATTCCGAGGTAGGACGGACGCTTCTCCGGAGGCTTTCTTTTCTTCTGGAGCCCCTACCCCGCTTCCCCTTAAAAACAAATCTCTGAATATAGCTGCATTTTATTTTTTTTTTTTTTGCTGTCTGGAGGATTTGTTTGCTGCTCGTATGACTGGGCAGTGGTTGGTCCCTGGATTCTCTTTTACGAGATCTGAATCATCCACTCAAAGTGACCGACGGTCAAAGCTTCCCCTTAAGATGACAAATTTAGCTCACCTGTAGCGGTAAAACACATCTACAATAATCTCTCTTAGTTGGATTCTTGCAGGCAGCGGGGGGAAAACTGTCTCCAACAGTGGGAAAAATGACCTTTTACCACACCCCAAAGCAAACGCTCAGGGAAGAGGGTTCCCTTGTGCAAGCAGGAGGGTGAAAGTCCGTGCTGGGGATTGTGCTTTGACAGCAAGACTGAATAAACAACGGGGTGTGGGGAATTACAGGTCTCTAAACTGGCTTGCGTGGCTTTTTTCTCCCAGCTTTACCGTCCCAGCTTCGTGCCTCTGGGGGCTGCCACCGTTCCTACCATGTCTGCGGCGTACCCGGGCGCTTCCGTCTTCCTGCCCGTGGCCCAGTCTGTGGCCGTGGGGCCGCTCGGCTCGTCGGTCCCGATGGCGTATTACCCCGTGGGACCGGTTTATCCTCCGGGCTCGACCGTCCTTGTCGAAGGTGGCTTTGATGCTGGAGCAAGGTTCGGAGCTGGTGGCACAGCCAGCATCCCTGTAAGTATAAATGCACCCCCAGAGCCCTGCGTGCTGCAGCACTAGGGGTTTGTAGACAGTGGTAGGGGAGAAGATATCTTTTGTCTTCTGAGAAAAACGTATTTCTTACCCAATCCATCATTTGGGAGAATAGGCTCCCACTGCCATGATGAGAGTTTGCTGTCTCTGGCCAACCTGTGGCTCTGGTGCCGTCTTGGCTTGCTGCTGGTTCTGGCTCACAGCAAAACCATTGTGTGGCCAGTGCTAGCCCTGATTTGGCTTGGAGGCCACGGTGTGATGTGCTTCGAGGGGAGGTGACCCAGCAGGGCTGCTTAGCTTCCTGACTCTCCCTGGCCCCAAGTGCAGGCTTGGCCTTTATCCGTGCTGTGGTGGAGCTGTGGGGGGTTCCTGCTTTCTGCCCATGGCTCACGGCCCCGTGAGGGTCTTGTTCCACAGCTCCCAGGCTCCTCTGCCTGGGCAAAAAACCAGGGTCAGCCGCATGGGCTGCGGGCTCCAAAAAGAGGGAGGAGGGCACAGAAGAGGAACCGAGCGTTTCCCGTCAGCTCCTGGGCTGTGTCGCTCAGTCTGTGCTTGGTGGCAGGTGACAGGGACATCGACTGGGAGCTGTCTGGGTCCCTGCAGCCCACGGTGGCTTTGTGCCAGCTCCTATCGTGGCACTGACCTCAGCTATCTATCCCCCCCCTCCGCTCTGTCTTCCAGCCCCCCCCTCCTGGCTGTCCCCCCAACGCTGCCCAGCTGGCTGTAATGCAGGGAGCCAACGTCTTGGTGACGCAACGGAAGGGAAACTTCTTCCTGGGAGGCTCAGATGGCGGCTACACTATCTGGTGAAGAAGGGAGGGGAAAGGGGGGAGAGGGGGGGCTACATTTGTGTAAGGAAAGACATCACATACTGTCAGCACTTCTCACGATGTAACTGCTTTAGTCCATATTAACCTGAAGTTGCAGATTAGACACACAGCGGTGAGGTGTCTTCCTGGTTTGGTGCCCGGCCCTGCAGGCACTTTCAAGCGAAACAAGAAACCCTGTTGATGATAGCGGGGAGGGGGGGGGATTAGTTCGCGAAATGAATGTGAGCTCAGCAGCCCTGCCTCTTCCTTTCATTTCGCTGGGGCAATACCGCAGTGCTGAGCTTTCATTAGTCGGCCGCCTGCCCCCCGGCTCTGGGGAGGGCGCGGGCGCGGACCCGGTTTCGCCCTGCCCTCGCGCCCCGCGCCGGCCCCGGGGCCGCAGCCGCCTGCGCTTCCCTTCCACCGAAGCCAAGGTGCTGGCTAGAAAAGCGAGGCTAACTTCGCTTCCCAGTGGCAGGGGGGGCACCTTGGCGCTTCTTCCTTCCTGACCTCCCCTAGAACGGATCCCTGGAAGCGCTCCGTGCTCACATTCGCCCGTCGTTTTCCCCCAGGAAGGTATGCAGCTGGCGTGTATCATGGGATTTTTTTTATACACTCCAAGAAATCTTGGATTTCTTTGCACATTAGATCTAATCAAAGCCATGCTTTGGTGCCAGAAACACAATGCAACTCATGTTTGAACATTTCATTCAATGCTAACTAAGCTTTTAGAATGATGCTTAATAAACAAACTCTTTTTTTTTTTTTTTTTTTTTTTTTTCTTTTTTTTAAACTCAACCTGGTGTCTTGACACCAAAACTCCTTAAGGCTGTTGTTCAAACAGAGAGGCTGGCTAACATCTGTCCGAGGGTGTGTAGCAACTGTCAATCAACACGCAAATTAGCTTGGTTAGAGGGTCGTTTCATGAATGCATACTTTAAAAATGGCTTGGGTGTAATGAAGTCTTACTAGGGTTAAGAAGAATATTTCAGGGATCCTCAATGTTTTGGGTTTTTTTTTTTGTTTTATGAAGAAAATTATCAGATTCAAATATATTTTATCTTGAGGTTTCAGTTTAATCTAAATCTGTGTCTTGTATGTGTTGTGTTTAACCATACAACTGACTGTTATGAAAGTTCAGCATTACGTCTCTCTCTGTATACACTGTGGTGCACTTAACTTGTGGATTTTTTTATACTAAAAAAAAAGTAGAATAAAGACTATTTTGAAAATTTGAATAAAGTAGCAGATTTGCATTAGACCTCAAATAAAACCCCTTGGCTCCTGCACATTGCAAGCCTTAGGGTTTCTTATTTCCTCTTCGCTGCTATTTTGTGAACTTCCTTCTTTGTTCTTTTTTGGTTTTTTTTGGTTTAAAGGAGGAACTGCCCTTGAGAAGGGAGCAGAGGGGAGTGTCTGGAGCTGCTCCTCACCCCACCCTTGTGCACAGCAAAAGCAGAGGGAAGTTAATGTCTCTGCCCGCCTGAGCCGATGGGTCGGTGCTAGAGCCGGCGCTGCGGATGGAGCAGACCCGCTCTGCCGCCGAGTCCCCCGAGCCCGCGGGGCCAGGCGCCTCTCCCCGCAGGGACGAGCTTCCCCGGGTTTGTGGGCTACACTGGGGCTTCCTGTCACCTGCAGGATCCACCAGCCTATTTGACGTGCACGCTTAACCTTAGCCTCCGAGTTGGCCATGCTCCTTACCCCACCCCTGAGTCATCGGCAGAATAACTTAATTGTTTTGTCAGATATGGAGAAAGAAAACAACAGCGACTCTTGGAGCGTTTTTCACTGGGCTGTATTAGAAAGCACCAAAGGGAGGAGCTGGGGTGGGTGCGAGCAGCCGGAGCGCGGCCGTGCCTGCTCTCCTCCCCCGAGCTGAAGCTCTCCCTGCCCTTGGTCTGCAGCGGGCAAGGCTCTGACACACACCTACTCGTTTTTCCTTCCGTGATGGGCTTAATAAATTAAGGGGAAGGAAGGAAGAAAAAAAAAAAAAAAAAAAAAAGGAAAGCAGCTTGTAGATTCCCAACTCCAGGAAATTGAGGCAACTTGGACCTGAGTGCATCCGAGAGGTGTGTGCTGGGCCTGTGGTTAGATAAAATACTCTTCTTTCTCCTTGGCCGGAGCGTCCTCCATCGGCACCGACATGTCGGTCTCTGCCGCTGGCTGCTCGTAGGTGAGGTAGCTGCCTTTGTTTCTGTACAGGTAGGTGATGATCACCACCAGGACCGTCAGCAGGGTGAGGAACACCAGGGTGATGACCACTGCCGGGGAGAAGGTGGAGAGGAGCGGGGTTTAGCCGCGAGTGGTCAGTACTGACCTGCTCCTCGGTGCACGGGGTGGGCCCGCGCGGAGAGCCCCTACCTGCGATGACCACGGTGTTGGCATCTTCATGGAGAGGTGGGGTGTGAGCCTTCTTCAGGAAGGGGGTGGTCAGCTCTTCAGCAAAGCGGGAGAGAGGGAGAGAGGAGAGGGTGAGCAAAGCTGGTCCCGGCCCAGCTCTGAGCCAGGCTTAGCCGGACTGGGTACGTGGTGGACCTAGGCGAGGTCTTGCCGAGGATTATATGGCACGAACAGCCCGGCAAAACCGTCCCGGGGTGCTCACCTGCAGTCAGAGGGGGCTGATCTCCTTCCATCGCATCGGCTCCTTTCAGGAGAAGGTCCGGGGTCCCTTCGGAACTACCAAAAAACCAAGAACAAAAGTGCTGAATCCCCACGTGACGCCCTGAAGGGCACCGCCGCGAGGGGGGATGCGGGCGGTGATGCGGCACGAGCCGAGGCAAAGGTTTTATTCGGGCTGATGGGGAGGAGCGGGCTGGGGCACGCCGGGCTGGCGGGAAGGCGGCAAAGCCGGGGAAGGCAGGGAAAAACCAGCCACCGACTCTGCAGTTTGCTGTCAAACTTTGAGAGCTTCACATCGCCCATAAATCCCTGCAAATCCTCCGCCCAGGGTCCTGAGGTTGATGCCGCAGCCGTAACGTTTTGCCGGCAGCCGCTGAACCGACCTCAGCGGCTCTGCCCGAGGTGGACGGGCAACCTTTGTAATCCCCCCCCAAAATACGTCCTGCAGCGGCTCTTGCGCCTGGGCACAAGTGACTCAGCGCCTCTGTGGAGACGCACCGCTAGATGTCAGGAGCAAATAAAATGTAATTTTATTTATTTTTTTTTTTTAAATGAGGAAGTTTAACCACGAGAGCATGGAGATGGGCCAGGAGTGAGGAGCCGGCAGCACGGCTGTGCTGTGCCGTCAGGATGCATCTCACGAGGACAGGGCGACTCCAGCCCTGCTGGCAACCTCCCAGATTTTGGGAAGCAGGGTGAATTTCTCAGGATCCGGCCCTGCCCTGGTCGTCCCACTGTGCCCTTGTGACTCACAGCACTGTCGGGTGTTTGCAAAACATTCCTTTACAACAACAGGTTTTGCTTTTGAGCGCTACCAGAATGCAAACGTTTCGGTTGACAGAGTCACAGGAATTTGGGAAAACAATTTTCCCCCTTCCCAGCAGTGTGCGTGGACAGTCATGGGACCCCTCTCCCACTGGCCGGGGACCGGGACCGCAAGTCTCCAGCAGCCCTCTGCGAGCACGACAACTTCCCCCCAGGCTCAAGCTCAGGCTGGGACAAGCCACCAACTCATTAAACCCAGCTTTGCTTTAAACCCAGCTTGCATTAAACCCGCCTTTCCTTTAAAGCTCATCGGGCTCCTCTGGCAGCAACGTCTGGGTATCGGGGAGCTACATGAGCTTTCCAGCGCCAGCCACAGTCTTCCCATGGAGAATCAGCTGCTGCTTGGGTAGCTTCAGAGCAAAAAAATACGTAAAATTTTCCCCCAAACATAAGACTGGGATTTAAGGGGAAAGAAGAAAAGGTGCTTCTTGGTGGCGAGGGAGCTGGTGCAAGCCAGATGCCTCAGGGACAGGGCTTCTTGGTAAGCGTTCGGCATTACCAGTGGGAAACACAAACCAGTTTTGTGCCCCCAGGACCTGCAAAATGGAGTCCTGGGACCCACCAAAGGTTTAAACCAAATTTTAGGTGGGGGAAAGACCTGCTTCAGCGCCAAAGTGGTCATGAAAGCGAAGCTCCCCATGTTGCATCCCCGGGGGAGGGATGCTCTGCCCGGCTACCCTCTCACCACTTCTGCCTTGGGGGCACGGGAAGCTGCTCGCCAAAACCAACCGGGATGGAGCCCCGTGCTCCACGACATGGAAAACCGCGGGGTATTTCGCAGTGCCAGGGTTACCTTGCTGGGCTGGGATCCTGCCGCTGCGCAGTCGGAGCCTCTGGGCGTCCGCCGCGGCCCTGCTGGGGGGCTGATGGAGGGGGGTGACTCACTTCCCCAGCACGCTGGATCCGTGCGGATCTCCATGTGTTTTTTAAAGCGACACAGGAGTTGTGAAAAAAAAAAAGAAAAAAAAAAAAAAAAAAAAAAACAAAAACCACCCCATAATCTTCCTCATTCTTGCTCGCAGGCCAAGTTGCTCAAGAGCTGTTCCCACAATGAAACCCTCCCCGCCCCACAGCTTCTCTCCCGAAACGCTCCGCCGGGCACAGCCTGCCATTGGGGATGCTCAGCGGCGCCTCCGCAGCCCCCCCGTTCCCACGCCCCGTGCAGAGAAGCTGGGCTGAGCCACCCATCCCCGCAGCCTGCTCACCCCCCGTTCTCCTCCATCACTCCAGGATGGGTCCCCTGGGAGGGACGTTTTTCTCTCCGCTGCACCCTGCTCAGCTTTCCCGCTGGGTTTCCTGCTTTCTCTTTCTCGCCGTAGCAGGATCAGGCCTTTTCCCTTCCCACCCACCTGAAATCCAGCCGGAAAACGCCCAGCTCAGAGCCCACATTTCAGCTTCTCCCCCAAACCGGCCGCACTTTGGTGTCCCTCATGGCATGACTCCGTTGCCTCCCTGTGCAAATCCACGTGCCCGATGCAGCCAAACCCCTCCAAACCTACCTGGGAATGGTGAGTTTTTGGGGGGTCACCCCAGAGGCCGTGTCCCCCCCACCCCAGCTCTTACCTGCACCCGCTGGGCCAGGGCAGGCAGCTGCCGGCACCATGTGCGGCTCTCGCCCAGGCGAAGGCGTTGCCCTTTTCCTGCCTCACCTTTCCAGTCTGGCTGCAATGGTTATAAAAACCCAGAAATACCTCCTCCATTAACCCCTCGTTTGCTGGGGAGCCAGCCCATCACCAGGCACTAGGGTGGCGACACAAGCTCTTGCACCCGGGCGCTGATTTGCAACAGGGGTTTGCATTTATATAGGGGAATTTTGCAGCACAGGGTGGGTAGAATTGTGGAATTGGGGCTTTTTTTTTTTTTTTTTTTTTTTTTTTTTAATGACAGCACATTTCTGGGAGCCAGCAAAACCAGCCTGGCCCCTTTTTCTTGAGTCAGAGCAGTGCTGGGTGCTGGGGGAGAACAGGGCCACAAATATTTCCCGCGCCCGGCTTCGGCTGCCATAAACCCGCAGGTGGGGAGCCCCCGGCAGTCCCTGGGCCCCCCCAGCCCAGCCGGTGATGGGCTTTTGCAGGATGGAGGTTTGGCCCTCGCCAGCAGCTTCACTCTCCTGTTAGCACCTTTCCTGCCCTCTGCTTTTATTTCAGACGGGATGCGGGGTGGGAAGCGCGTTACAGTTACGAGGGAACAGTTATCTGCAGGTGGCTCTGTAAGACGCCTGTTTTCCGCTCCGGGCGCTGGGCTCACAGCGGGGTGAGGGTCTCGGTGGGGTCCTGGGAGGGGGTTGCTGCTGGTGGGGGGTCCCGGCTCTCACCCTGGCTCACGTCCTGTTCCAGCGGCCCAGAACAGCCTTGCTCCTGGGAGAGACACGGAGGTGACGCTGAGCAGGGTGGGATGGAGAACTCGTGCTTCAGTTACAGCAGACCCGAGAAGGACCGAGTCTGGCTGGGGGAGGCTGGGTCACATCTCCCCCCACAGCACCACTACACCCACTTCAGCTGGGGAGCTGGAGGGGGAGGCGCCACCCCTGATGCAGCCGCTTGACGCCATATCAAGGGCCAGATCCAGCCCCATCTGCCGGCAGAGGAGCATGGCCCTGGGCTGGATCTGTCCCGCAGACCCCTCTGGGTGCCCCGTCCCGCGTCCCCGCAGGATGACCCCAGCAGAGGTTGGGGCTCCGAAGAAGCCAGGCATCCCCCTGCCACGGCGGAGCGGGCACGCAGCGCCCACCACGGCGTCTCCCCTCCTGGCACCAGAACTTCCTTACCTGAGGTCTGGCCACCTTTGGCTCGAGGTCCATCACCTCCACGCTCTCCTCGGAGCCGCTGTGCCCGCCCGTGGCACCGCCGAGCTGGCTCAGCTCCTGCCTCCCGCCCAGGGACGGACACGCCGGTGCCTCCGCAGCGGGGCCAGGGGCAGGGCAGGAGACGCCCAGGGCTGGGGACGGTGGCTCCCCGGGACGTGCCCGACCCTCGCTGCTGGCGGCCGGGCCGCCCGGCTGACCAGGGTCCCCGGTGCTGGCCGGGGCTTTGCTTGCCTCCAGCCCAGCCGCGGCTTCTTCCAGCTCCGGTGGCGCGGTGCCGGCAGCCTGGGCAATCGCCTCGGATAAAATCAGTGCTGCCAGGGAGGCGGCGATGCCCTCGGCCCCCGCCCGCGCCCCACCGTCAGCCCCCGCTGGCCCCGGACTCGGGCTGTCGACGGGCGCGGGGCAGTGGGCACCCGGCTCTGCGGCTGCCAGCCACGTCCCCTGCTCGCGGGACGGAGCTTCGGGGCCGGGGCCTGGCTCTGGGGCCTCCTCGCTGGAGACGGACGCCGTCTCCGACGGGGACCCATCACTGGCGGGCGAGGCGGGGGGGGGGCCGGGGATGGCGGCACCCAGCTCCCCGTTGGAGACGGCGTCGGCGCTGCCCGGCCCGGGGGACCCCGCTGTCACCTCCGCTTCCACCACGGGCTGCCAGTCCGGCGCTTGCCCCGGGCAGGGGAACACGGCCGGGGGGCTCACCGGCGAGGAGATGACCAGCGAGCGCCGGTTGCTGTGTGGGGGGAGGACACGGAGGTTAAACACCCATCCGGCACCTCCCGCAAACATCATCCTCGGGGACACGCTGCCGCCTCCCCGCCCTGGCCTCCAGGTGATGCTTCCCCATCCGGCACAACTGGGAAACGACCCAAATTGATTAACCTAGCACCACCAAAGCACCCTCGACCCGCTGCCGGGAGACACTCGCCCATCCCAGGCCTGGTGACTGCATCATCCCTCTGCTTTTTGGGGTGTGGGGGGCGATTTAGCCACTTGAAACCCCTCACCCTGCCGGAGCTCACCCACTCATTTACCTGGGGACGCCTTTAATGATGAAGACTTTGCTGGAGTGCTGCTTGTCCAGTTTGCTCATCACCTCGTACAGGTCGCGGTTGAGCTGCGATATGGGGGAGGGGGGGGAGAAATGCATCAGAGAGGCCCCCCCAGTGCCACCCGTCACCCAGCAGCACCACGAACGTCCTTGAGCTGCTCTAAATTATTAAACAAAATGAAGAGCAGTGGGGACTCAGGGTGGGTGGCTGGCACCAATGTAGCCAGAGCACCTGGGGACAGCTACGAGACTGCTGGGGGGGGGGGCAAGGGGAGGGTTGTTTTGGGGTGCTGCCTTTCCCCCACCTTACTCATCTCCTTGTAGAAGACATCGCGGAGGTTGGAGATGTTCTGGAAGATGGTCACATAGCAGGCGATGCGGCTGTGGGAGGGAAAAACACGGTGGGAGGTGAGGGGGCTCGGGGGTGCCACCCCATTTCCCACTGGGGCTCGGGGTGCTGAGCACCCAGGCGGTCAGCACCCATCCTCTGGGGTCCCCGTGGAGATGGGGAGCGGCGAATAAACCCTCGGGGTAAGGACGAAGCGGCCCTGGACACTTGACCCCGGGGCCTCCCTGCTGCAGCGATGGTGCTGCCATCTCCCGGCTGTCACAGCCACCCGTGGGCGATGTCCCTCGGGCCACGGCGCGCACTGTGGCCTTTTGGAAGAAAACCCCACTTCTTCCCCACCACGACGGGGGGGGTGGGGGGGAAACAGCACCCACCCGCTGGCGCCCACACCCAGCCGTGTCCCGGGGATCAGCGGGTGATTTGTAGGGACCTTTTGCTCAGATGCTGCTTTTTCGGAGGGGACCCACGGAGGGGTGGGGAAGAGGCTGCCCTTCCCCCTTGCAAACAGGGGGGCTGCGGATGCCATCGGCTTCTGGGCAGGATTGTACCCCGTGGCCATGTGCCTGCCCCAGTCCCTGTGATGTCCCCCAGCCCCATAATGTCCCCCAGCCCCGTGACGTCCCCCAGCCCCGTGATGTCCCCCAGCCCCATAATGTCCCCCAGCCCCGTGACGTCCCCCAGCCCCCTGACATCCCCCAGCCCCCTGACATCCCCCAGCCCTGTGACATCCCCCAGTCCCATGACGTCTCCCAGCCCCATAATGTCCCCCAGCCCCATGACATCCCCCAGCCCTGTGACATCCCCCAGCCCCGTGACGTCCCCCAGCCCCCTGATGTCCCCCGGCCCCCCCAGCACCCCCAGTACCTGCCATACAGAACCGGCAGCTCCTCCCGAAGGTCCCTATTCAGGTCTTCAAACACCGCTTGGGCTTTATTAAACTCTTCCTCAGCCTGCAGGGAGGGAAGGGGGGGTTGTGGCTTTGCCAGCAAGGCTGGGGCTTGGGGGGGCTGCGCCGGGGAGGGGTCCCCCAGCAGGCTTGACCTTGGCGATTTTTGCCTCGTCCTTTTTCTTGGCACTTTGCAGAGCTTCCAGATGATGCCGGGCGCTGTCGTAGTCCACCAGTTTGCGGCCCCGCTTGGCGATGCGCTCCTGTGCGGGGGGGAAAGGTGAGTCAGGATCTGGCCCCCCCATCCCCGCCTCCTCCCCCACTGACACCACACCCGAGGGATACCTTAAAGTCCCCAAACTGAGCCAGGTAGTTCTCCATCAACCGCAGGGCTTGGTCGGCCAGCTTCGCCTCGTAGTCGTCCCACAGGAGGTCATTGCTCTGTGGGGTGAAAAAGGGGGGGACAGGGGTATAACGCCCTGATCCCCCCCCAACCTTCCCTCTGGCCGTACGTGCTGGGCTGCATCCCCAGGGACCCCCCTTGGCTCAGCTCGCTGGCCCCCCCGAAGCTCGAAGGGGACCCTTGGGGACAGGGGGAGCACGTCAAGGGTCTCACATCTGCGATGGCTTTCAGCTCCTCGTGACCATCCCAGTCAGTGCTGTAAATCTCCTGCAGCGTTTCGGCCACTTTCCGGGAGCTCTCATGCATCACTGCGGCCCGGCCAGAGGATGCAAACATATTATTTATTATTCATTAGTTTTTATTATTATTTTAAATGATGCATTATTATTTATTAACCCGGGTAAGAAAATGCAGAGATGCTCAACCCCCTCCCGGCTCCTCCAAGGTGCCCCCGGGTTTTTCCCAGTCTATTTATGGGGGTGGGGGTGCCGAACCTTTCACCGCGCCAAGGAAAGCCTTGAGGTCTTTGTAGAGCTTGTTGCCTTCATTCTGCAAAGCAACGTGGTGAGGGGACAGGTCAGGGCCGTCCCCGAGGGCTCCTGGAGATTTCCATGAGCCTGGTGGGGACAGGGGGACCCCGGGTGGCAGCGGGGCCAAGGGATGGTGTAGGGATGTCCCCGTCCCCCCCCCCTTGCCTGCTCCCCAGTGCGACCTGCTGCAGATGGAAGTTGTAGGCGCTTTGCTCGAACTGCTCATCTTTGGTTTCCACTGTTTTGCCCAATTTCTGCAAAACCTGGGATGGAGAGAGATGGAGACATGGGAAAAGTTGTCAGCCCTGAGCTCGACGCTTCTCACTGGGCTCTACCTCCTAGTGGGGAGCGGGGTCGTCCCCAGTGAAAACCCCTCTTGGGGGCACGCTGAGGATCCGGCAGAGCTGATGCCGAGCTGGGGTTTAGATGGGGAGTACGAAATGTCGGCACATCCCTTGGTGCTTTTATGTTTTAGAGGAAAACAGTGACTTTTTGGGTGCTGACTCATCACCCTACCCTAGAAAACCCGGTAGGTGCAGCCTTATGTACCCCAGAACATCCACACACGTGTCTATGGGTGCAGGTGAAGCCCCGGGTGCTGCCTCGTTGGGCACTGGTGACACCGTGCTGAGGATGAGGATGGTCTGTGGCCGAAGGCTGCCACTGGAGCCACCATGGCAGGAGCACGGTGAGGCCAGGGCCGTGTGGGTGGGAGCTTTGGGGTGTCCAGGAAGAGGCTGAGCCCCCCAGGAAGCGGTTGGAGCCTGACCCGGGCTGATACAGCCATGGGGGAGCTGAATTTAGCACCGAGCCCCAGCCAGGAAACCCGGGAGTGTGTGGGTTTGGTGTGTGTGGGCTTTGCATCATTCATGTGTTCCCCTCCCCCGGCTCCCCCCCCCCAGTGATAATTGCTGGCTGCTTTTTTGGGGGCAGAAAAGGAAAGAGACGCTCCCGAATCACCCCAAACTGGCCCAGAATTGCCTCGGTTCTGCCCGCTTCCGGAGCCCTTCCCCCTCGCTTCCTGCGCGGCCAGTGTGGGCTACGTCAGCTCTGCTGGCACCATCCCCACTCCGGGACCCGGTGGGGACCGCCACCTCCAGCCAGCCCTGAGGGACCCTGTACCAGCAGCGTATGGTCCCCCCATATCCCCCGGAAGGCGTTTTGGGTGGAAAAATCCCACTTTTAGAGAACCCAGTGGCTGCCAAGGCAGCTGGGGGAACCTTGGGGAGATGCCGTCAAGCCCAAAGCCTCGCAGCAGTGATGACGTTGACCCAGAGTCACCCAAATTAACACCCTACGAGCGCCCATGGGAGCCAAGTGGTGCCCACTGTGCTACCCCCTCACCGCTGCAGTGGAAAAAAAATTAAAGCGTGAAATGAAAGAAGGGATTTTGGGGCTGGGCGTCGCGGGCGGGCACCGCGCCGTACCTTCTCCTGCGCCCGGCTGAACCGTTTCTGGACCTGCTTGGCGAAAAGCCCGGCTCCCCCGCTCTTGCCCTCTGCCATGGCTGCAGCTCGGCTCCTGCTCGCAGCCGCGCGCTGCGGTTTGGTGTTTGCTACGGAGGAAGTTCGAGGCGAGGCAGCTGCCGGCATCCGCCGAGCACCCGGGCACCCCCCGCCACGCTCCCCCCCGGAAAGGCTCCCCTGCGCACCCAGCGACATGGGTGGGCCAAAGGGGTGACGGGGAGCCTGCGCCTGCCTCTTAATTCTTCCATGAGCGTCTGGTCTGAGGTTTGAATTTGGCTCTTGGTGCAGTTTGGGTGCTGGTGCTTTACCCCCGTGCCAGGCGGTGCTGTGGCACAGCTGGTGCTCCAGGACGCAGCCGTGGGGTGAGGCAGTAACAATCGTCGAAGCCAACATTCCTCTTTGCAAAGGAGATTGGATTTTGAAGAGAGATGGAGATAATGGCAGGGAAAATTCCCGACCGTAACCTCCTGTATCCTTCTGTGTCCCCAAGGAGCTGCACTGTTGCCCACGAAGCAGATTTGCAGCATTTTCCCCTTTTCCATTACCCCAAGGACTTTCTGGCTGCCTTGATAACACAGAGCCGGTTGCTTTTCCCCACAGCTCTTTTCTGAAGTGCGAGGAAGAGGAGGGATGCGGCTAAAGGGATGGGCTGGAAGATGTGAGGGGAAAGGGATGCTGAGGGTCGGAGGAGGAAGGCTTGCAAGGGAAACATCCACCAGAGTGCCAGAGAGGAACAGATTTTATTGACACCGGCTGCAGGGTTTAAATCCCTCCGAGCAAGACATAGGGGAGGACGACGTCCATCACCTGAGCCGGGGACCAGGCTCTTCTCCCGCCCCCGCTCAGTTCTGGGATATCACCTGGAGGGAGAAGAAAGGCAGCGGTTGAGCCAAAGGGGGAAAGAGCCGGTGCATCGGTGCAATGATAGTGCCAGGTCTCAGCCCCTGGCCGCCCAACCCCAGCGTCGCCTTACGCTCGATATCCAGGAGATGTAGGCAGAGACGCGGGTGAAGACAGTGGGTTTGCGCGCGACGTTGCAGCCCAGGCTGGAGACGAAGCTGGTGACACCGTGGACCTGGTACTGCCCGTTCACCGCGCAGTGGAGGGGGCCGCCCGAATCACCCTGCCAGAGCCAGGAACCCGCGTGAGACGGGAGGAACGGGGATGCCGGGGGGATGCCGGGGGGGAAGCGGGCTGGGGGACCGCACCTGGCAGCCGGAGCGCACGCCGTCACCGCCGGCACAGACCATGGAGGGTTTGACGGTGGAGCCCCAGTAGGAGGGGCTGGAGCAGATCTGGTAGTCCACCACGGGCAGGTACGCCTGCAGCAGGACGCTGGAGAGCTGCCCGTTGGCTGCACGCAAACAAGCGCCGGTTAAGGCCGCGCTGGCAAAGACCTGTGAGACCCGCAGCCAGAAACGCCCTTTGGCGACCCCCTCCCCGCCAAAGCAGAGCCTGCAGCCGTGGCCGGGGGCCCCCCCAAACCAACCTGATGTTGGGCACCTGCATGCCCAGAGCAAAGCCCTGTGCGATGCCTCCTGGGCCCTCAAAGGGCTTAAAAATATCGTTCAGCTCCCCACGTTTCCCAAATTTTGGGGGTGATTTAGGGCTGGGGCGACCTGTCGGCACTCACTGCGGGTGAGACCCCAGCCTGTGATGTAGCAGGGGTAGTTGTTGGGCAGGATGGATCCCTGCTGGGGCAGGACGGCCAGCTGCACGTAATTGTTCAAGGTGGCGTAGCTGGACAGACGGATCAGGGCAATGTCGTAGCTGGCGAGAGGAGGGAGAGGATGTTGCAAGGAGCTCCCCCATTCCCGGCGATGCTCCCCCAAATCCCCCTCCCCATGTGCGTTACCCCGCGGCGGCATTGTTGCTGTTCCAGTAGGGATTGATGATGATCTTGCTCACGCTGAAGATCTGCTCGCTGCCATCGTTCCTGTTGAGGTTGTGCTCGCCAGCCACCACGCGGAAGTTCAGGTTACTGCCAGAAGGGTGAAAAAACGCGGGATCAGGCCCCGGATTACGATTATTTCAGGAGTGAGTTGATATGGGAAGGATCAGGGCAAGAAGACGCTCCCAGAGATGGTCCATGTAATCCTTGAAGGAGGACAAGCAAAGACCTTAAAGGACTCTTGCTCTCTGGGTCGGGGCAGCCAAAATTTCTCCTTGGAAAGGCTTTGGCGGAAAATGGCTTTTCCACGAGAGGAAGGGGGGGTCCCCGTGCCCACTCACCGATCGACGCAATGGGCTGCTGTCATCACCCAGTTTCTCTGGATGAGGGACCCACCGCAGGTGTGATGCCAGCTGCCACCGGAGTAATACTGGAGGGAGATCTGGGGAGGGGGGACGCGAGACACGGGGGGGTGTCACCACGTGGGCCCGGGGGGATGAGACCCCCGATGGGGTTCCCCAGCTGACTGTGGGAAGGACCCACCTGGGAGGGCCAGGCGTGTGAGCGCGCCTCGGTCCCACCGACCACCCGTTGCACCCCATCGAGGTCCTGCTCGGAGCAGCGTCCTGCGGGAGAGAGGGCGGGGGGCAGGAGTGAATCGCAGCGGGGGGGTCGTCACCGGCTGAGGCGGCCGGCGGCTGCCCACGGAGACCCACCGCAGAGGGCGAGGGCGGCGAGGAGCACGAGCTGCAGCATCGTCCTGGGCCACGGCAGCGTTTCGTCCGTGGTGAGGGCTGCCTCGCCAGCGGCTTTAAAGGGGACGGGGGAGGAGGGGCGGGAAGAAAACCAGGTGACACGACCCTGCCGAGCAGCCTTGGTCCCTCTTCCAAAACACACATGGCCCCAAAGGTCAGGGCCAAAAAATCCCTGGGTGCACCCCAAGTCTCCCTGGCTCTAGCCAGGCAGCCCCCATCCCTGGGGAGAAGATGCCACCGTGCTCTTGCATCTTCCTCTTCTGTGCGTCTCGGGCAGTCTTGTCACGAGTTTCTCCCAGTCTCAAGCCCCGTGGATGCCCCAGCTGAGGCTCTTGCACCACGATTCTTTGTGGAATGCCTCCCAGAGTTTTATCTGACACATGAACAGTGCCCGCATGGCCGTTGGGATGGGGAAACTGAGGCAAGCACAAGCAAGACCTTCACCCCCTCCAGAAAAACCCACCTCACCCAACACAGCCAGCACCGGAGCAGGGACCAGACACAATTTCCATGGGGCATTATTTTGAGGTTAAATGAAAAAACAGCATGGTTTGTAACGAAAACTTGATTCCTGGCCAAAACAGTTTTATTTTTTTCCCCCTTTAAAAAGAAACTGAGGCTGTTCTGGGGGGTGAACCCCCCTCATCAAGGTTTTAGCTCCACTGATGAAGCAGTTGCTGGAAAACAGTATTTGTGATAGTGGTGATTATTGGTTCACCCAGTCCAAAAAATATATGGAAAAAAAGAAAAGCACCTGCTGCATTTCTGCCCTTATCTCTAAGAAAAACATGAGACTTCATGGGGAAAATGGTCTCCAGGTAATCACTTACTTGCTTTATCAGCACAGCAGGTAACATAGTGAGGGACGGCAGTGAAGCCTCCACCCCAGCGCAAGGACAACCCAGTCCAAATCTGAACCACCTCAAATGTGACACCTCCCTGCCAAAGTGGCTTTAAACCCACTTTTGGACTGCACGAGGGAGTTTCCAGGGCAAGAAGAGGGAGGGAAATTAAATCAGGAGCTCAGAGGAAGCTGGAGACAGGGTGTCCGTAAAATAAATCATCTCTTTATTTGAGGTTGTGTATCCAAAGACAGGTTCTCTCACCCCCACGCCACTTCCAGGAGGGATCTTCCCCCCCACTATAAATGAAATGGCAACAGAAGCGGCAGCTACATTAGTTGGGCTTGAAGAAAACCAGGGGAGGAAGGAGATCTCGTGCCCGGGTGCTGGCAGGAGCCTCTCCGGGAGGATGCCGCAGTGGGTTCGAGCTGTGCCATCCAGGGAAAACCCTCCTCCAGATCAGCACGACGAGCAGAATCGCACCCAGGAATTATCATCATATAATAACGATAAAAAAAAAACCAAACCTAACTTCCCCTTCCCAAATCAAGCCCGATATCTAAGGCAAACAGCCCAACTTCTCCCATCCTGGCAGCAGCGATGCACGATGCCCGCAGTGCTGCAGCGGGCGAGGGCCGGGTCCCGGCACGGCCCCGGCAGTACCGGGGGGGATTCCCTCGCCCCTACGGGGCCACCCTGCCACGGGATGAGCCGCACGGCCGGTCACCATCCTCCTCCTCACTGGCAGGAGCTTCCCGCCCGGCTTTCACGTGCAGGGCAGCACGGCTGCGTTTTTAAATGCCCAATATGAATTGAAAAGGCTCTGGCTGGGGCCGTGGAGGGGAAGGATGAGCAGCAGCTGGTGCTGAAGAGCATCCTCAGGCACCTCTACGACTGCTGGGTTTGGGGCTCTATGGGGTACCGCCAGCCGAGGTCGGCTCCCCGGGCTTCCCCGCTCCAAAGGCACGGGGCCGAGTTCAAGGCAACCATGACATGCAGCATATTTAAGGCTTTTGCTTCTTAAATAAAAAAAAAAAAAAAAAAAAAAAAAGGGAAGTTTTTTTTTGAATTCTGGTTTCCTGAGCATGGTTGGGGACGGTGAGGGGCTCGGGCCACTCTGCTCCCTGCCTAGGTGAAGGACCAGAGCTGGTGCGGGTCCGCTGGGTCGCAGGGAACCATCGCCGGGTGCTTCCCTCGTGCCGTCAAGCACGTACCGGAGGCCGGGTTTTTAACCAGCCGGTCCTGCCAAAAAATAAAGACGCCATCAGCTCAGCAATGTTGGTGGCACGAAGAAAGGATGCGACCACGGGGAAGCGGCAGAGCAGCAGCATCACGGCGGGGATGATGCCACCCCGCGCCTCGGGCGATTCCCGGGATGGAGGTGCCTCTCCTCACCTGCGCCAGGTCCCACTCCTCGCTGCCCGGCACCCGGCCGGGCTTCCCCCGGTACTGGCAGTCACCCAGCTCGGCCGAGCCCGAGCCTGCCCGCAGGCAAAGTTCCTTCCCGATGTTGTGCCGCAGCTCCCGCTGGCTCGTGTACTCAAAATACTGGGGGGCAAGACCACAGAGGGGGGTGTCACACTGCTGCGCCCCGAGACAGTAACCCCCGGGGGAAAACCAGGGGGCTTGCAGGCGGGGGAAATGGTGCCCACCTGGTTGCCCCCCATCCCGTGGCAGGGGTACATGATGAGTGGTTTCCCACCGTGGTTGTTCTCACCGACGTCCAAGCAGCTCTTGGTGCCCTCGTTTTTTATCTGCAGGGTGGGGGGGGGGGGGTGGGGAAGGGGCAGGGTCATGAGTTGGGCTCCGAGGTTCCCGAGCAGGGACCCGCCTCGGGTTTGGGCTTTGCGGAGCAATTAATTCTCCCTGCACAAACACGATCCCGGTACTAGGCGCCGTGTCCGGGTCCCCTGACCTTTCCAGGACGTGAGGAACGCCCGCGCCAGTGCCTCCGTCCCACCGAGTCAAAGGTGAGAGCCGCCCGGGATGAGGTTCCAGGAAACAAAGGTGAATTATAACCCGGGTGGGAGCCAGCGCCCGGACGCCACCGTGTCCGACGGCTGCTTTCACGTCGCTCTGGCTGAGGTCAGACTCAGACCCCAACGCCCAGCTCGGAGGAAAGGGGCTTTTCTTGGCAGCTCCCTCCCCGGGACAGGGGAGCTCCGCACCCTGCCTGGCCTCAGCTTGGTTTTACAAGCCCACCCTGTGCTGTGCCGTGCTGTGCCTGCAGGGTGCTTGTGGAAGTTTTCAGCTCTTTCGCCGCTGGATTTAACCCAGTGCCACCTCCCCACCGGTCCCCCACCCTGTAACTCGTTCCAAACCAGCTCTGCTGGATTCCAGCTTTTTCACTGTCAGCCAGAGCCCGAACCGGCCCCGCCAGCCGGTGACAGACTGACAGGGCTGCACCAAACCCCGCCAGCACGCTGCTTTAAATGCAAACCTCCCAACCTCGGCCTCCTGGGGACTTCACTGCCACGGCTGCTGCTCGCCAAGGACCGAGCCCAGGGGGGTGCTCTGGGCACCCCTGTACTTACCGCTCCATAAAAAGTGGGAGTCAGGTCAGGGACGAACATCTCCGGGTAGACAGTCTGGAGGTACCAGGTGAAGTTCTTGCAGTGGAGCCGTTCCCTCAGCTTGTGCCGGTCTGTAATGTCACCATACGTCTTCTATCGACAAAGTCACGTAAGAAAATTAAACTAACCTGCAAACCTGCAAACCAGAAAAACCCTCCCAGGCCAGGGCTCAGAGCTGAGGAGTGCTCCCGGCTTTGTCATCGTCCATCACCCTGTGCCCAGGACTGAGACTGGTGGTGGGATCTTGGGGGACGTCCCGGGTACCTGGCAGGTACCCTCAGGCTCTGGCCGCTCACTGAGAGGGCTGGGACATTTTGTCATCACAGCACAACATTTTGGTGTCATAAAAAAAAAAAAAAAAATCGATCTTTTTCTACTAAAAAACATTCCAGCCAAATACAAGAAAAAAAAAAAAAAATCACTTTTTGGCTAGTTCTTTGATGTGCATTTGCCTTCCCACCTCCAGGCTGAGCCCACCTCCTCCCTCTACTCGGGCTTGAGCTCCCAGCAGGATCAGCCCACCCCAGAAGAAGTCGAAGCCCACCAGTGTGCCTGGTACCTCTCTGGCCATCTGCGCAGCTTGCTGGTTCCTCCTGTAGAAGATCTCCTTGTAGTCGTCCATCCAGACCTCGGCCAGGCGGACCAGGTTCCTGGAGATGACCTGGGTGCCCTTGGGGAAGGTGTGGGGGCTCTTGGAGCGGAAGACGTGACCCACGACGGAGCAAGGGATGATCTCGACTTGACCCCCGCACTGCCAGACCTACGGGGAGGCAAGGCCCGAGACGTGGGGGGTCCAACCCCCCCGTGCCCCCGACAAGGAGCACTCCCGAAGAGGCCCTTTGAAGATGGCACCGACCCATCCTTACCCTGAAGGACATCTCCACATTCTCGCCCCCCCAGATCTCCATCTGGTCGTCGTAGGAGCCGATACGCTCGAAGTAGGACCTGGAGATGGCAAAGAGGCCACCGGCAAAGGTCGGGGACCTACAGGGCAGGGAGAAGAGGGGTAAAATAGAGTTAAAATAAAAATAGGAAAGCAGAAGTGTGAGTTCTGGGGACATCACGGCCCTCACGGGTGTGAGCACTTTGCAGCTGTGTCCCCCCATCTCCCTGCACCATCCAGCTGTGCCCCAGATGTGGTGGCTTTGGCGGAGGGGCTGCCAGCAGCGGCCGGAGGTGGCAGTGGCGGCGTGACACCGAGGGGCCTCACCACCAGCTCTCGACTCCAAGTGAAAAGAGGATATTGTTACCAAAAAAACCCTATCGCCCAAATGAAGGGGGGAGATTAGAGCTCTGCGGCCGGCGCCCCATTCACTCGTTCGGCTTCTCTAATCTTTTCCATCTGATCTTTAGAAGAGGCTGGAACAGAAACTTGCTTTTATTCAGGAAAAATAAAAAAAAAAAAAAAAAGAAAAAGAAAAAGGATTTGCTGAGCTGCTGTGTCCCTGCCAAGCGGAGATGAGACGCTGCCGGGAGCCAAACCAACAGCTTGTGGTAAAAGGCACCTTTAGTGGGACAGGGACGTCTCCCGGGTGACCTCTGCACAAAGCCAGCCCTGCCACCGGCCAGGGGACGGGATGCAGACGGGGCCAGGCAGGGTGTCCAGTATCTCCCCGTGGGAGCACCCAGCTTATCGAGGGGCACCACTGGAGAGGTGCAGCGGGAGAAACAGTTCAGGGTTTCTCTGCATGCAAAGTAAGGGGATAGAATTAGGGGGTTTGGTGCAGTCTGATCCACAGGTGACATATTCTTGCTGCTGTGCCAGTGCAGGTGCCCACCCTGTGCCCAGGTAGCTGGGTACCCAAGACAGAAGACAGTGATTAAACCCTTAACGAGAGACTTTGCAGGAGTGGAGAGATGGCTGGAGGCAATGCAAAGGTGTTTTTGCAAAAGGTCCTTTATGGCTCCCCATTTGCCAGACCCCAGGGCAGGTTTCTCCTCTGCCAGCCCCACAGCCCTGACCATGCCTGAGCATCCTCTCCCAGGCACAAACCACCCGAGATCCCTCAAGCCAAGCATCCCACGGGGGAAGCTCTGCTGGGAAGGGACAGCATCACCCACCCAGAGGCACCAAGCCCAACAGGGAAAACACCGATTTGTTGGAAGGAGCAAAAGCAACTGGAGGAAGGGACAGTTGCCCGGCACAGGGTACCCAGCTCTTTGCCACCCCTGGCTGTCCCTGCAGCAGCCACGCATGCTCAGCCGGTTCATTTTGCGGCTTTTGGGTCTGGACACGGCGTTCCCAGGGCTCATCCAACCTTTGCTACCATCACGCCAGCCCCGAAGTGGATAAAAATGCCAACTTGCGATGGCTTACTTGATGGGGAAGGTCTCATCCTTCCTTCGCTGCCTCTCCCGGGGTGGAACGACCTCCCAGCCGAAAGTCAGGCTCCAGTCGAAGTTGCCCCGGCTGTGCTGTTTGCCGTTCTGGACGGGCTTGGAAAACTCAAAGGTGTTGAGATCGATGGTGGCGATGTCGGGGCTTACGACGGCCGTGGGCTCTTCGGCGATGCGGGATAAGAGGGGCTCCAGCCAGCCGTGGAAACACTCACCTGGGGCGTGGCGAAGGGTTGGCCACTGAGTGGAGACAACTTCACTTCTCCCCAGGGCTCTGGGGACCTCCAGGAGGTGGTGGGTACTCACAGTGGGCATCCAGGAAGGTCAGGACCTCCCCGCTGGCCACGCTGGCCCCCAGCAGCCGCGCCGTGATCAGTCCTTTCCGCTCGTCCTGCCGCACGACTCGCACGATCTGGAGCTGCTCCACGTAGCGATCCAGCTCGTCCTTCAGGTAGTCTGGGGGGGGGGGGGGGGGGGGGGGGAAAGCAACCGGCTCTGTTGGAGGGGGGTAGATGCTGGTTCCTGCCCCGCACAGGAGCTGCTGCTCAGACCCTGCACTCAGGTTCAGATCCAGGGACACATGGAGCCTGCTTTCCCCCAAATCCAAGAGTGGTTTTGGCTAAAGAAAGTGAATTTGGCAAAGCAGCTGGCCACCCCCCCCCGCCTAATCCCCCACTAGCGAGGGATTAGGGGAACGGCGGGGTGAGAAGGTCTCCTGCCCCACAGCTGAAGTGCCACTGGGACTAAGTGGGGGAGCTGCCACCGAAGGAAGGAACAGCAGACAAGGTGTGACCAAAGGAAATGGAGATTTCTCTCCGTCTTTGGCAGATGCAGCCAAGCCAAAAGCTGGGAACGGCCAAGCGAGAGCTGGCGTGTCCAGACACCTGCCCTGGGAAGGGACCCAAAGGCCGACCTGCGTCCCCGCCGCAGCGGGAGCCAAGCTCGCGGGCGATAAAGCCCTGCACCTCCCCGAGGTTTCTGCTCCTTGGGAGCCCGCGCAGACACTGTGAGCAGAAAGGGAGAATTTATCTCCGGGGCAAGGGCAAAGTCCGCTCCTCCCCAGCGCCCTGACACCGCACCACATCATTAATTTGCTCGAGGTGTAGCTAATGAGGATTGCAGCCTGCCGGGCAGGCCGGCTGGCAGATGAGGTATTTGCAGGATGCGGGAGGAGCGCCTGGTTTTTCCCCAGGGCTGGGTTAACAGCAGTGCCAGAGAAGGGGAAAACCCCGACGGGCCCTCCCAGGCAGACGCAAAACAAGGTGGAAAAGCTGCTGGATCCACCCCGGGCTGCTCGGAGACTCGGCATGAGCTGCTGCTCCGCCGAGTGCCTCCGAACTGCTGCTCCCGGGGATGGAAGGATGTTTGGCACCCCCCTGCACCCCACCGCAGCTCCCACCCACCATCCGTGCTGGCGTCGTCCACCAAGATGATCTCCTTCAGCAGGAGGGCCGGCGAGGCGTGCAGGACGCTGTACACCGTCCGCAGCAGCGTCGACCACGCTTCGTTATGGAAGACGATGACGACGCTGGTGGTGGGCAGGGGGGGGCACCGCTTGAATTTCTGGTCGATGCACCTCCAAGAGAGAGAAAGGGAGGTCTAAGCGAGACGGGGGCAGGGCAGGAGCACGACAGAAACGAGACACCCCTCATCCCCCCCAAACCCCGCGGCAGGGGAGCGGCTCCCAGCCCTGGCAGCTCTCGGCTCGTCGCCGCCGCTTTGATTTCAATTGATTTCTACGCTCCCCCCGCTGCCGGCCGAGTGAATCGCATTCCTGCTGCCCGCCCAGCCCCGGTGTCCCCCCCATTGTCACCGCTACACCTGCTAAGCACGGATAATCGCCTGCCAGCACGGGGAGGGGGGGCTGGTTTCCAAACCAGGGCTGGGTTTCTACCTCCCATTCAAGTCTTTTTTCCACCCCAAAATCCGCCCCCCAAGCCCACCCCCCGCGAGCAGGCAGGGGTTGGGGGGGCCGTGCTTTAATCTGGCAGCCCACGGCCAGAGGGCAGGCAAGGAAATCTCTTGAGTTTATGTCGCTTCCTTCACCCCCCCCCCCCGGCCCCAGCGGGGGCTGAGGCTGTTCCACTCGGCTAAGAAAAGAAAAAGTCCGATTACTGGAGCCGGCCGAAATAAAAGAGGGACAGAAGGGAAAGGGAGGGGAGAGGCCAGAGCCACCCGGCTGCTAGCAGGTATGCGGGGACACAAAGAGCCGCTGCTGGCTTTTGCCTGTTAAAAACCAACCCCAAGGGGACAAAAATTAGGGAAGTTAAACAAAGTAAAGCATTTTTTCAGCCCTCCCTTTGCTCGATCCCCTCCCAATGCTCGGCAACATCCCATCCCCGATCTGCTTTTACTCCCCCTTAAATTTCCCCATCGAGGGAGCAAGCGGGCCCGCGGGGCTCCCTGGGCGACGGCTCTTACTCCGGCGGGCGGCTGTCGGGGCCCAGCGCTCGCTGCAGGGAGATGCGGTCGCTGGCGAAGGCGTTGAAGCAATGCTTCTCGTAACCTCGCTCCTTCTCCTTCGTCTCCTCCGGCGTCCAGTGATCCTTCTTGAAGGCTTTGCCGTCGGCTCCGGGGCTGGCGGGGTCTTGGGGGGGTCTCTCCATCAGCGGCCGAAGCTCCGCCGCCGTGTAGACGCCGGGCAGGCAGGCGCGAGCGCCGGACGGAGGCTCCTGCTGCCGAACCGGAGCTCGGATCTGCAGCTTCGGCATCGAGTCTCGGATGTTGTTGACCGCCCCCAGCATCAGGTCAAGGACTTGGTCCTTCCCCTGGACAATATTCTTCAACCAGGGTTCCTCGCCTGGGTCCTTGTTCCCCACGTCCTTCTGCAGGATGAAGAGGAAGATGACGAAGACGGCACCTGCTAAAGCCACTTTCAAGGGGCTGTAGCGCCTCCGGAAAAGCCTCATTTTTTTTTTTTTTTTTTTTGTCTGTGTGGTTTCCAGAGGATCCTCTCTGTGGCGATGGGGTGTATCAGGGATGCGGGGTCCCAGGGTGCTTCATGATGATCTGCTCAGCTCCACTAACCTGGGGAGAAGGAGAAACAGCCACAGGTTAATTCACAGACTGGATGCACTTTGGGTGCATCCCCTTGATATTAACATATTAGTATTGTATTAATTATATATAAAGATAAAGTTCACTTCCTGCAAGCGCGAAGCAAGACCTCCAAAATTCACTCCCCCCGTGTTCCTTCCAGCCCATAAATCCGTGCTAAAAATAAAACACCAGGAAAAAGCAAAGTTCAGAAAATGCTGCAAGATGTGCTGAATCCAGTCACCACGAGCACGGAACGTCCAAGCACTTTCTCCTGCGACTGAGCCAGCTGCTGCTGCAGCATCCCCCCTGCAACCTCCCCACGCACGCTGGGAGCAGCGTAACCAAGCTAAAAGCAAGCCGCAAAATTCGCCGAAATATTTGTGGCTGTGTGGAAAAAGCCTTTCCCTGGGTATTTTTCCTGCCTGCAGCGTTGCTGGGAAGGAAAACATGTGCAGGACCCCACGAAGCTTTGGTTTCGGCTGACTTGGAGCAGCAGATTCGGTGTCCGGTGCGGTGGCCACCGAGAGCTCAGCGCTGGCTACAAAGCCTCCGCCGGGACCCGGCGGAAGCACCACGACCGGCCAAACTTTCCCAGAGTGACCAAACCTCCCGCGGCTGCTCTTTGTGAGCCGCTGCCGCCGGAGCATGGACAAGCTCCGTGGGAGCCATTCACCGGCACCTCCTCCTCCTCCAGTTTGGAGTGTCCCCCCCCCTCCTTTATCTCTTTTTTTCCTTTTCTTTTTATTGCCTTGGAAATGGTGCAGCCCTGGAGCGGAGAAGGGCACCTGCCAGCAACTTCAAGGGCGAGGAAGCTTTGGCTTGTAAAGGAGGAGGGCCGAGGCGGTCCCCGGGGTCACCGCTTTCAGCACCGCAGGGATCAAAGCCGGGGGCCGGACCACGCTTCACTGCCAAGGGCACCCGTCCCTGAGCCGTAGCCGGACCAGGAGGCACCGGCTCCATGCGGGGGGAGTGGAGGGGGAGAGCAAAATTAAGGGAAAAAAAAAAAAAAAAGAATTCCACATCAGTTTCTGCTCCTATCCGAGCAAAGATGCTCCCACCTCACTTGCGTTCCCGAGTCCTGATGCTTTTGTTGCAAGGTGCAAGCTGCTGCTGTGCAAGGAGGTGAGCGGTGAAGAGCAACCCATTTTGGGAAGGAAAAGCCCATTTCCACCATCTCCACATCTCTCCGAGAGTGTCCTTCCTGCCACGTTACTGTGACCATGTTAACGAAGCACGCTCATTAGCTGTGCGATGCTAATGAACCCCGAGGCGGCACTCGGGCACGCAGGGAGAGGATGCGGGTTTGTGCACAACGGCACTGCAGCTCCCGAGAGGGTCCAACCCCAACCCCCCTCCCCAATCCCTCCCCAAAAAGGGTCCAAAAACCAACACAAAACCTGCAAAAATTCCCCCCAAAAGCGCTGGGGTGGATTTCACAGCGAGCTGCAGCGTGAGCTCCCGGTGCGCTTGCGCTCTCCAGCCCTGCAAACCCACGAGGTTGACACTCTCCGTCCCATCCCGAAAATCCCATGTCCGGCCAGGGCTTGCCCTGCTCCCAGGAAAAACAGTGCCAAAAGTGTCACCCATCGGGTTTGGAAGATGGGAAAAGGGGTTTGGTGGAAGCATGGTGGCAGCCAGAGCATCCTTCACGGTGCGGGAGGGAGAAGTGGGAATTGAGAGATGCTCCTCTGGCAGAGGGGGAAGAAATAAGGGGGAAAATAAATAAATTAAAAGCAAATCAACACCGACGTGCCACCGTGAACAAACAGGGCGGCTGCAGTCGAGGTGGCCAGGCGCCCCACGTGGCAGCGGGCCGGTGGCCACGGCTGTGCCGTCGGGATTTCAAAGCGCCAGCAGCGGGAAGCGGGGTGCAACCCTGCCGCCGCCTGCGACCCCGGCTGGGGGGAACGCCGGGTCCTTCCCGGCGGTGCCGAGAGACGGGGGGCACCGCCGGCGGGATCCCGCTCCTCGCGCCCGTTTTAGGAATCGGTGAGGTCAGGGGGGGTGAGGGGGAAGGGGGGTGCTCGGCAGGAAGGGGGGGTCCCATGGGCCTCCCAGCTGCTGGCCTCGCCCTGCTTGGGATGAGCCCTCGGGGGTCCCAGACCCGCTCGGTGTGCTGCGGGGCCAGGACCCCCGGGGACGGGCTGGGTGCCCTGCCGGAGGGGTGCTGGGGTGCCCCGGGGGGATGAAGGGGGGGCCTGATCCTGCCCACGGCGGTGCGCGGAGCCGCGCAGCCCCGGGGAGCAGCTGGGCCGCCCCGGGGGGCTCCGTCCCGGGACCCCAGACCCTTCCCCCGGGGCGGGGGGGGGGAGCTCCGTACCGGGAACCCCGCACCGGGAGCCCCCGCACCCTCTGCTCCGGGGGGCTCCGTCCCGGGACCCCAGACCCTTCCCCCGGGGGGGGGGCGGGGAGCTCCGTACCGGGAACCCCGCACCCTCTCTGCTCCGGGGGGCTCCATCCCGGAACCCCAGACCCTTCCCCCGGGGCGGGGGGGGGGAGCTCCGTACCGGGAACCCCGCACCGGGAGCCCCCGCACCCTCTGCTCCGGGGGGCTCCGTCCCGGGACCCCAGACCCTTCCCCCGGGGGGGGGAGCTCCGTACCGGGAACCCCGCACCGGGAACCCTCGCACACCCTCTTCTCCGGGGGACTCCGTCCCGGGACCCCAGACCCTTCCCCCGGGGCGGGGGGGGGGAGCTCCGTACCGGGAACCCCGCACCGGGAACCCCCGCACCCTCTGCTCCGGGGGGCTCCATCCAGGGACCCCAGACCCTTCCCCCGGGGGGGGGAAGCTCCGTACCGGGAACCCCGCACCGGGAACCCCCGCACACCCTCTGCTCCGGGGGGCTCCGTCCCGGGACCCCCCCCATTCCTTCCCCGAGCGGGGGAGCTCCGCACTGGGACTCCCCGCACCCGCTTCCCCCGGGGCGGGAGCTCCGCACCGGGACCCCCCGCCCCCGGGAGGGGAGAGGGGGCTCCGCACCGGGACCCCCCGCCCCCGCTTCCCCCGGGGTGTGGGGGCTGCAGACCGGCCCCTCCCCCGGGGCACCCACGGATCTACAAGCACACCCAGGCCGGCACCGCAGCACCGAGCTCCCCCCGCTCCCCCCATCCCGGCGCCCCCCCCGCCCCGTCCCCCCCCCCTCACCCAGCTCCGCGGCGGGCGCGAGGCCGCAGGTGCCGTCCCGGCGGGGCGGGGCGGGGCCGAGCGCGCGGGAGGGGGCGGGGCCGCCGCCGCCACCTGCTGCCGCCCCGGGGCTACAGGTGCGGGGGGGGGGGGGGGGGCGGTGCCGCCGCGGTCCTAGCGCCGCCCGCCGACCCCGCGCCGGCGGGCTGATAGCGGGGTACCGGCGGGGAGCGGGGCCTGGGGGGGCCGTGTGGGCTGGGCGCGGTGGGTACCGTGAGCGGCAGGGGCCACAAGGGCCTGGCGCTGGGCGGGGTGGCGGCCACGGGAACATATAGGGGCCATAAGGGCCACGGGGACCCGGCACTGGGGGTGGTGGGAGCCACGGGAACCTATAGAAGCTATAGGAGTGCGACCCTGGGTGTGCTGGGGGCCCGTGGCACTGGGGGTGCTGCCAGGTCCCACACTGCCCGCCTGCTGGGTGGCAGGGAGAGAGGCACCAGCACGGTGCGAATGCCCTTCCTGCCTGCGCTTGTTCCCCGCTTTATGCCGCGTTTGTTGTTATTATTCTTATTTATTAATTATTCCGTGGACGCTGCAGAGCGTCCTGAGCTTCCTGGCTTGGCGGCAGCGGTTCCCTGTGGCTGGGAGTTTCTTTACTGTCGGTTTGACCAGGATGAAATAATTGCTGGTAATTTTTTTTTGTGATCACCCTGGTCGCTGTAAATAGACTGTCAACACGGGAACTCGTTAATTATTCCCATTCCTCTATGTCATCCCCTGTTAGTCTGTCTCTCCGTGTCGACCTGCCGGTTGCACCGCTTTGCTGCTCCCCACCGGCGCCCCGAGCCCACGCTTGGGGACGACCCCGCGATCCCCCCGGGCACGCCGTGGGGAGGCAGCCCCGAACGGCGAGCCCCCCGCCCCGCGCGCCCCGCTTCCCACGTCCTCAAGACCCGCGTTTAACACTAGAGGGTGGTGTCTTCGTGAAAATTCAGCCCGAGGATCAGCAGCCGCTAGGCGCGGCGTGAAAACTCTGGAAAATCCAGGTGAGGTATCGGTGGTGCGAGAGCCGCCCAAAGCCCCTTCGGGGATGATGTGGCGGGTACAGCCCCGTCGGCGAGGGGATCCTGTGCTTGCAGGGAGGAGCAGGAGCAGCCCCCAAACCTGTGCACCCCAGGGGAGGCTGCGGTCGGGACGCGCGTGAGGGCAGAGAAACAGGAGGGTGATGGGGAAACCCCGGCGGCTCCACCCGCACCCCGGAGGGATGAGCCCTGAGTGGGTTTTAATCACCCAGCTGAGGATTTGGCTTTGGCTCCTGCACTGTACGGAGGATTTGGGGGATCTGAGCTGGAGCAGAGTGAGTATTAATTTGGATTATTGGGATATCAGCTTGAATATTAGCTGCCCTACAGGGGATAAGTCAGGCAGGGCTCCGGGGCACTGCAGATGCACAAATACCCATCAGCCTCCATGTTAAAGCACTAACAAGTTGCTAGAGAAAGGCAAGGGGAAACTGAGTCACGGAAAAGGCACCTTCCTCACCCAGCGCAGCGCAGAGAGGAGCCAACACTCACCCGCCATGAGGCCACCCTCGGCATTCACAATCGTCTCCTGTGCTTTTCAGAGCTAAATTTAAACCCTGGGTTCGTGCAGCGGCTGCCTGTAATTCACTGCTGCTTTGTTTCCTGCCTTGCTGCTGTGCAGAGGTTTCGCTCTTAGCACAAAAACTGAAGGGGAAATTCCCTACCCCAGAGTTTGCTGCTGCTGAACTTTTTTTCAGCTGTGACTTGCCGAGCCCGATGTCACGCCGCGGACGCCTGGCCAGGGGAAGGAGGCCCCCCCTTCAGAGTAAGTGAGCTTCTGTGGAAAATTGAGCTTTTTTAGCTTCACAGGGTCCACGCTGGGCTGTGTCATGGGGGACGGGGTGGGGACAGGCTTTTCACCGCGTTAAACCAGCCCCGTTCCCTGGCACCGAGGGAGAACAGGGCTGAAGGCAGGTCCTGCCCCTCAGGGTCACTCCGTGAACCTGGAGCATCTGATTTCCCCGGGATTTTTATGCTCTCAGATTGCTTCCTTTAATTGCAATTTGTGAAATGCTTTTCAGGTTACGCAGGAGATTAAAATCGCCTGGTGCACCATCCTCCTAATGTCACAAAAGTAATTTGCAGGAAATGAAGAAGCAGTTAACTACTGAAAAAACCAGCAGGGATCATACAAAATCAATACAGGCTTGCTTGGGAATGACAGTGCCAAATCACACACTTCTTAATAATTAATTGGCATAGTTATATATAACTCTCAGGCAAAACATAGCCTCTTAATCTTTAATTTGATATGTTAGCTGTGGAGTTAGCTGCTTTGGAGGGTGAAAAATGTTTATCCTTGTTTTAAAGAATCATTGGGACCCAAACAGCCGAATTTACAATGCAGTTATCATCATGGCTTGTTTGTGGTGTGAGAAGCACAGAAATACCTGCACTGGAAGCGAACCTTACCATTCTGTCTGCAGTTTTCCTTGTGCTGGGTGTGTTTCCTTCGGGTCGGTCGGGATTTCTGCCCTTTGCCCCTATCGGGGAATCCACATCGCCCTGACCGTCAGAGGAGGCTCCATCAAACTGATCAGCTGAGCCCCTAATTACAGAGCTGCAGCTTAAATTTGCAGTGCTGAGCAGCAGCAAACCTGGAAAATATGACAGGAAGCAAACCCGATTTGCATATTTATGCTAATCGAGATTGCACGAATCTTTCAAATTAGAATGTACTTTGCAGATGGCTTTCAGATTTGTACTGAGCTTTGGTTTTATTTATTATCTTTCAGACTGGTAATTGGCGCAATATGATAAAACTGGAAAGTCTAATCCACAATACAGCCATTAAAGGAAGGAGAAATGTGTTGAACACAATGCAGAGAGATTTTTCTTAGTAGTAACAATATTGGGTTAACACATACCGTGTGGGCATGAGCTAGATTTTAATTTGTAGGGGATATCTGAGAGCAAAAGTTGCAGCTTGGGGCTGAGCATCTCAAGAAAGAGGAATTGTGGCCCCAGGCTCGGATATTGTTCCCTGGATGGGATTGTTGTCCGGAGTTTGTTTGCTCTCATGCCACTGCACAAAAAATGAGATCCCTTGGTACTACGTGAATGAGCAGTGCAACTTTTTCCAGGTAGATTTTTCAACAAATGGGACTTTTTGGTTGTTTGGAGCTGAGGTCATGGCAGCTGTGGGCTGAGAGGTGGAAAAGCCCAGCTTGGCTGTTCAGTTATCCCCTGACTCGGAAAGAATCACTTCTCTTTTCAGGTTTGTTTTTTTTTTTTTTTTTTTTTTTCTGTGTAAATTGTAAGAGAACTGGGAGTGCTTCCTTCTTTGCAGTTCTGTGCGCATGAGCACGTGGGATTTCCAGGGATCCCAGCACGACCAAGCCCGGTCCTCCCCGTCCCACCAACTCGGCGATAACCTTGGTGGCTCCTTGCTGCCTTTGGATAACACACAGCCGGTCATTTCCTCATGCTTTCCTCCTGATCGGGCACGATGGAGATGGAAGAAATATTCCTCCAGCTCTGTGAGGAGGTCGCCAGGCTGCAGGATCTGTGCACCAAGCAGGGGAAGCTCCTCCAGAAGCTGACTGCCAGGAAGGGACCCATCCTCGGTAAGTACCGGAGGGGGCACTGGGACTGCAGATCCAGGCTGACAAGTGTGATTTGAGCCTTTGTCCTGATGCTGGCAAGGAGTTTGCTGCGGAAAGTGGGGATAATGTGAAGCTGGTTTATGGCAGAGACGCCCTCTGCAACCCATGCTGGCTGTCGTGGCTTTTTGGCTTCACCTTCTCCATCAGATGTGGAATAATGTGTGCATGCGTCTGCTTAGAGTCACGTCAAAACTGCCGCAGGCGTGCCGCTGCTTATTCACACATCTTGCCCCTGGGGAGAGGGGGAAGGAGCGTGGGGCAGATGGTACTCATTGCCTAGAGTGATTTTGGGAAGCAGGAGCCTCCACAGCCTGGAAACCACCCAGGGTAATGTTCTTGCCCTCCCCAGCAGCCTCCCTGGTTTTCCAAGAAATCTCCCTCCTGGTCCCCTGACTGTGGCCCATGTGCTTGTCCGCCCCCCCAAGCAGTCACATCACTCCCGCAGGGTTTTGCACGTTGTTCCCAACCTTAGAGGGTGTTTTCGGTGGTCAGGAGGGATTGCCTCGGGCCGAGAGCTGCCATGTGCTGTGAAACCAGCAGCCTTGTGTGCTCCCCACCTCTGTGCTCGCCTCCTCTCCCCACAGCTCTGCTGTCTGTGTGTCCTTCCCGGGGCTGGCGTGCAAATGCATGTCTCCAGACAGGACCTAAACCAAAGCCGTTACTGGGATAAGCAGTATGGATTTGGGGGGATGCAGCGATGTCGCAGTGTCTCCAAAGGGAGCTAATACTCTTCTGACTCAGGCCTCTCTGGCTGTCCTCAGCTGCCTTTTTTTTTGCTGGTCCAGCCTCGTGTTTAATTGAGCATGGAGACAGACGAGTTTTGACAGCGAGGAGGTAGTGCCTGGCTGTTTCACAAGCATAAAAGGAAAACGGGGCAACGGGAAGGGAAGCGAGAGTCCCAGGAATCACCGCTCTGGCTTGCTTTCTTTCAAAGATCTCCCCATGTCACTGCCGATCCAGTGCACAGAGGACACGGTCACAGAGGAAGGAGGGAGGCCGCCGGTCAGCCCCCAGAAATGCTCAGAGGCCGCGGCGTCCACTGCCTCCGACCCCGAGGGCTCTGCTCGTGCCCTGGAGCAGCCGCCCGCAGCCAGCACGCTGCCCGGCTTCGACGGCAGGTGCCCGCCGAGCGCCGCGAGCGCCGGCGTCTTCGCGGGTGGAACTGGAGGGGCGGCTCTTGCCGTAGCTTTCGGCAGCCACAGGGCAGAGAGGAGCGGGAAGGCGGACGTAGGCACGTGGCTGAAAGCCTGTAGGATGCTTCCTGCCGTGGGCTGCAGCCCGCAGGAATTGGTGGCACCAAACCCGGTTGTTGGGGACTCCTTCCTGACTCTCCTGGACCTCTATGAAGCCCCAGAAACCCTGCGGAGGGAAGATGCTCCCAGGAAGAGTGCTCTGCCTGCTGAGGCTAAAGTCCCAGTGGAGATCCGAGGACCTGTGAAGGTAAATTGTCAAGCTGATGGGGATTTTTGCTGGTGACTTTTGTGTGCTCTTCTGGGCATAATGGCATCTGTCTGTCTCCAGCATCCTCTCTATCAGCCCTGCTGTAGCACATGGGGAGCTGTGGCAGAGTGAAGGTTTATGGTTACGTCCTGGAAAAGTCTCTAGGCACCGAATTCTCTGGTTCCCAGTGGAATTAGGTACATAAAAGCCCCTGGGATCTGGCTGCCAAGCAGCACCTGATGCACGTTGGGAGAAGTCCCTCCCGTGCTCCTTTCTGAGGCACTGAGGGACCCCTGAAGCAGTCGATTCAGTCTTGGGGGGGGGAAAAACTGCATCGGCCTCCTTTGGATCTGCAAATTACACGACCTCTTAAATATTTCCTTTATTCTCTCTGATTTATATGCCCCTGAAAGGATGATTTCTAAAGAGATCCTAGACTTTGTCCCCTCAGTCATCCTGGTAGGCCTTCACAATATGTGTTACAGGTGGGACACCAACCCTGGACTTGGTGGCGAGGGTCCCTGTAATGCCAAGCCCATTTCCTTTCATTCCTGCTTCCAAAGGAGACCCTTCAAAATTATTTCATGACTGCTGTGGGTACATATCCATGGGGAAAACTATTGATTTTGAGCCTGGGCTATAGTTAGAAGCTAGTTTCTTTTTAAGAAGAAGGAGAAGAAAGAAAGAAGTGGAAGCAGCGTCTGTCTGGTAAAGCCCTGATGTGCTTTATCAGCACTTAAATGATAATGGCACAAAAAGGAAATTACAAATGTGCTCCAGTTTGCTTCACACAAAAGTACTTTTCTCATGTTCTGGCCTGGATAGTGACTGTAGCTGCTGAAGGATAGGTGATGGGTGATGGAGGGTGCTCAGGTGCCATACCGAGACAGGATCCTCTGCTGGATTTTGGCGAGGATGGAGCGAGGAGGGACTCAGACTCCCCCAGACTCCAGCACGGGGTAGCAGCCCTTTGCCCAGCCTTTCTGCGGGCAGAAAAACATGGTGTTTGCTTTTGGAGGCTGCTCTTTGGCGTGGCAGACCGTGGGATGGAGGCTGGACACAGCCAGGGGCTTGTGAAGAGGTTGCTTCTGCTGCTCCCACCGACTGCTTTTCCCCTTTGCTCCTCGCAGACGTCCTGGACGCCGGGCTGGATGCTGGAGGACGGTGTGCTCGGGCAAGGCGCCGTCCTCACCTCTGAAGATGCTCAAGCTTGTGACATTTGCCAGGAGATCTTCCCCTCGGATGCAGCTGGCCAAGCGGACTATTTAAAGCACGTCTTAGCCCATATGAAGTAGGACTTGTCTTCATGAGTGGAAATTCGCATATTTGCACCTCAAACAGTACAACGGGCTCTGGGCCTTCATGAGATCCTGCCGCTGGCTTTGCCTGGGGCCAGCTTGGGCAGCAGTCCTGGTCTGTGTAATCCAGTATGCTCCCAAATGCGGTCCCTGGTGTGCTGCTCGACGCTCCGAGAGTGTTTTGGCTTGTTGAGCTCTGTGGATATCAAAGCTGCTTCTCTCCTGGGGCCCAGATGTGTGTGGGGCTGGGCAGGGGAGCGGTAACTCAGTTGGAAATGGGAATTTTTCAAAATGCAGCTTTAACCGGGTGGAAATTAATTTTCCATAAACAGTTAGGGATGTCTAAAAAGTCACATTGGCTTTTTCCGAGAACGTTGGAGGTGGGGTGAGAGAATCACAAGGTTTTCATGGTCACTAAACCTGAACGGGCCTTCTGAGTGATGCCCAGCGGTGTGATGGCACAGACCAGAACGCACTTTCCAAATGTGTTACTGCGAAGGGCATAACCGAGAGCTCTTATTCCTCGTAAGAACCTTGTCAGCTCCAGCTCAGTGGCTTACGGGAGCTTAGCGGATCCCTCTCCAGGTGGGAAGAGGCTCCCCAGCCCCAGCCCTGGCGGGGTCGGCTCTCCTGGCTTGGGGCCCGCGGGGTTTGGAGAGCAGCAGAGCAGAAAGGGGCTCCTCCAGCACGGGGATGTGGCTGACACGCGTGTTATCCTCCTGTCTTTCTGTTTAGTCTCTTGGGGAGAACGTCTTTTGAACGAATGGCTCTGGGAGGTGGTGGGTGGGTGTGAGTGGGGGAGACAGAGGATGCAGCTTCTGGTTCTGCAGCTGGTTCTTCACCAGGGCCTGGATGTACCTCGCTGGGCTGTGGTTTGCCCTCGAGCAAGGTTTTGGTCTTGTCTTGAATGATAGGAACAAGTAATTGCATGTGAGGGTGTCATCCATGCGACCAGAATTAAGATTATGTTCGTGCCTTAACAGCACCTGCAGTCCGAGTGGTCTATAGTGCTCTCCATCAGTAGCTCTCCATGTGTTTTGCAAAGAAATTCACCCGCAGAGGTGGGGAAACTGAGGCACAAAGCACGGAGTAGCTCCAAATCCCCAAATAGGCCCTTTTTTGTTGTTTTGGTTTTATTTTTTTTGAGACATCTCATCTCGGGTCTTTGTGTTTTGCAAGTTGCTTCTGAAATGGATTTGGCATCCCATGTTTGAGGCAACTTGCATCGAATTCAACAGCCAGATCCTCCTCTCCTTCCATGGATCAGGACTAATTGCAATCTCCAGCTCCAGCGTCTTGTCTTTAGCAGATAATAGTCATGAGTCCAGTTTCTTCCCCGAAATAGAGCTGCATTTATGAATGTGCTGTGACTACGGCGGAGCTGATGCCAAACATCCGTGTGTCCCGGGGATCTTGTCCTTTCAGGCACAGTGTGCAGAGGGCAGGGTGCGGGGTTGACAGCACCCTGGCCAACCTGGGCTTCACGAGGGGCAAAACCATTTCTCCAAGAACTTTTTTCCAAGACAAATCCTACAGCATCTTTCTTCAGAGCCACAGCGCTGAGCTTAGTTCCTCCATTCACACAGATATTGGAGCTGCTTTCTGCCCTGGGCAGCATCAGGACCTTTATTTCGCTGAAGGTCAAAGTGAGTTTTCTCACATGATGGTGCAACTTTCCCGTTGACATCTCCAGCTCCAAGTTTCCTCCTGTGGCTCCTCAAATTAATGAGGCAGTTGGATGGCTTTGCAGTGTTTTGTGCTCCTCTATAGGGCCTGGAAGAAAATCTCTTTTCCCAGCCTCCTGAGTTACTGGAAATGCCAGATACGAAAGCAAACTGGAGCAAGAAGAGCCAGAAATTTATTTGATATAAAATTGTAACAGCCATCCAGAATTTGCTGGAAGGAAGAAACCCAGCCTGGTTCTTCTTGCTTTGAGAGCACGTCCAGTAAATTTAATTTAAAAATTGCAAGCACAGATGGCTTTTCTCAAGAGTCACAGCAACCGTGGTGCAGTGCTGGATTCCAGGAGCGGTTGTGCCGCGGCAGCTGCACTGCTGCACCGTGCTGCAGGTGCACGGAGGCACCGCGTTACCCAAATCGATGTGAAAAACCACGTCGGGCGTGCTTGGGGCTACCCGTGATGAAGCTTTCGCCTGATGCTCCGTCCCTGGTGACTAGGAATGATCGAGCAGTTGAAGTTCAACAGACTTAACTTCACTTCTTGGCCTTTCTCACTGTGCCTCGCTGTATTTTTAGATGTTGTGTTGTACGGTGCAATTAGTCACCCCCTTCCCAGCCAGATGGTCCACAATGACACAGGAACTTCTTTTTTTAATCTAGCACTTTCCACTGGCATGAATGTGCCTCTGTTTCCTAAATAACCTTAAGTATAGGGTGCTTGTCTTAAATGTGGAGAGTGGGTGGCATGTTATTGTTTTTGCCCAGGTTCGACTCACCGGTGGGTGTCTTTTAGGGAAAGGCCGGAGCTGGGTGAGGGAACTTTTCCCATAAGGAGAACTTGGAAAATCAAGACTGGATTAAATCTGCTTTAATTCTCGCTGCTGGGCGTGTGTGTCGGGCAAACACAAGAATATGTGCCTCCTTGTTTTCAAACCAAGGCTTGAAAAAACTGGAGCCGCCAGTAATGCTCCTAGTGAAAACCAAGCCAGCAAAAATGCAGCTGAAAACTACATTTGGGTGGAAGATGTTCAGTTGCTGAGTCTTCTAATTAAGGAGCCTGGGATAGGGTGAGAGAGAAGGGGGCTGCCCTGGTGCTGGGGGGAGCGTGGGTGTCCTGGCAGTGTGCACATATCCATGTACACACGTGTTCACACGTGCACGCACACAAGCTCTGTGCAGCCAGCTGTGTGTGAATGCCCCCAAGCTCCAATATCAGCCTCTTTTGGGGCCACATTTTCGGAGGAGCCAAAAGAAATGGGGATCCCAGGGGACAGGAGGGGGAGGTTTAATTCCTCTAATGGAAAAGTGATGAAAAATTTAAATTTCTGCAGCAAGAACGATATTTCTCAAAGGAAAAACCCTCTGACTACTGTGGCTGTCCCCAGTTTCTTGATCGTTCTGGGAATTGTCATCAGAAATAAGGGGAAGGGGGATCATCTGCCCCCCACCTGCAGCAGGAACCCATCTGCGGCCAGCAAGGATGGGAAGTCGCTAATGGCTCTGTTAATTAATAACTGACCCTCTATTTTCACCTCCCATTAATGGGAGAGAAACGTTTCTTGATCCCACTGCGTTTGAACGTGAGCTCAAGGAGGCCGAAACTGGAAGATGGAACAAAGAATGGACATTTTCAAGCAATTCAATATTTTTCAAGTATTGTTTTTGGAAGAGTTTTAGCTGACAGCAATATCTTGGGCCAGTGGTTTTGGGAGGGGATTTTACGTTTCACTTAAGATTTTTGTCAAAGGCCTTTTTTGGGGAAAACCAGGCGACTGGGGCTAGTGGGGAGGGCTAAGGGGGCGATTGCTGCAGCGGGATGAGCCTTCCTGCCAGTCCCCTGCGTGAGTGGTTGAAGGGGATTTCTGAGCTCAGTTTCTCTTGAAAATATGAAATGCTTTTGGGGTTGTGGAGGACACAAAATTGAAATGGCCGAGCCTGTCCAGAGCTCTCAACTGCTCGGGGCACAGCAGCGTTTCAAGTGTTTGTCGAGACTTTTGTAAAATGCCCACTGGGGGGGGGGGGAAACATCCACCCTCCCCTGTCCCTGACCCTTTCCTGCTGGGGCAATGGGATTTTGGGAGGACAAGAGCTGGGTTTGCCTGGAGCTGGAGTCGGGGGGTATGGGGGGCAGCGCTGGCAGCTTGGGGGGGACAGGTTGGGTGGGAGGATGCGGGAGGAGGCCAGGGGGGAGCTGGGGGGGAGTCAGTGGAGATGCTAGGGGGGAGCTGGGGGGATGCTGGAGGGGGATTGGGGGTGATGCTGGGGGGGCAGCTGGAGGGATGCTGAGAGGGAATCAGGGGTGATGCTGGGGGGGTCCTGGGGGAGAATCAGGGGTGATGCTGGGGGGATGCTGGAGGGGGATTGGGGGTGCACTGGGGGTGCTGCTGGAGGGGATCAAGGGGTGATGCTGGGGGGGGTGATGCTGGTGGGGGACTGGGGAGATGATGCTGGAAGGGGTCGGGGGAGGATGATTCTGGGGGGGGGGCACTAAGATGCTGTGGGGAAGCGGGATTGGGGGGGTGATGCTGGAGGGGGCCAAGAAGATGATGGTGGAGGAGGCCGAGAGGAGGGCGCAGGTGGGGGCCCGGGGGGAGCCTGCCGAAGCGGGGCCACAGCTCCCCCGCCGGTGGTGCCCCCCCGGCCCCCCCCCGGTCCTGCCTCCTCCCTCCCTCCGCCCGCCGCCTCCCCCCGGCCCTGGGCGGGGTTTGGCCCCGGCTCCGGGAGATGGTGGAGCCGGTGTGAGCGGCACCGGGGCTGCAGCCGGCTGCGGCCCCCCCTGGCCCCCAGCCCCGGGGGGGTGCCCGGGCCCCCCCCGGCCCAGCCATGCCCGCCGGCAGCAACGAGCCCGATGGGATCCTCAGCTACCAGGTGGGGGGCAGCGGCGGGGGGGGGATGCTCGGTACCCTCGGGCGGGCCGTGCCGCCGGTGCGGCCGGAGGATGCTCCGTGGCTGCTCACTGCGGCATTTCCGATGGCGGGGGGGGGCAGGGGGACCGGGGGGGTTGGGGTGCAGGGGGGAGGCAAGGCGTCTGCAAGGGGGTTGCGTGGTGGGGGCTGTACGGGGCGTGCAAAGGGGAGTGAAGGGCATCTGCAAGGTGTGTGTGTGGGGGGGGTGTGGGGGGGTAGGTGGCTGTGAAATGGGGGGCTGGGGTTGTGCAAGGGGGGTGCCAGGCCTCTGAAGGGGCGGGGGGGGGTGCAAGGCATCGGCAAAGTGGAGGGGCGGAGGCGCAGCGGGGGGCGGGGGTGGTGAGGGGTGCTGGAGGTGGGTGCAGGAGGGATGTGAGGAGGGGAGGAAGGCACCTGTGCGATGTCTGTTGTGTTGGGGGGGTTCCCTGCTGGGCCCCCCATGTGTCGTCCCCCCCCCCCCATCTAGATGTCACCCTTGGTGATGCTGCAGGCCCTTTAGAGGGGGGACAAAGGCCACATTCCCCGGAGAGCCCCACTCCACCCAGTCACCGAGGTGTGGGGGGGTGCTCAGCTATTGTCCCCACCAGGCACTTGCATGGATGTGCTGGGGCGCAGGCAGGAGGCAGTTGGGTGGTTCCCCCCTCTTTCAGCATCTCCTTGTCCTGGGGAGGGCTTGAAATTACAGCTCATGGGAAAGGGAGAAAGGAATTTACATCTCCCCCAGCAAGGGATGACGGTCACGCCCTGGTGATGCTTGGCCGTGACCTGCATCCCCCCCTCGCAGACCCACTTCGGGGCTCTGGAGACCTGTCCCCTCCTCTTGCAAGCACTGGGGTCCCCATAGCAGCTCCAATCCTGGCCCAGGAGCTGGAGGGGTCCCCCCAGGGGACAGTGCTGACCCCCGTGATAGCAACAGAGGGAGCCGGGGGGACGGTGGCTTCACCCGGGCGGGATGGAAATGGAGGCGGGTGAGGAGGGGGTCTCCTGCTCCACCCCCACCATCGCCTCAGTTTGTCCCCATGCGCACTCTTACCCTCATCCCATAATAATACCGGGATCAGAGTTATTAATTACACTTTGGGCAAGATTAATTACATTAATCCTCCCTCCTGCTGCCGGTAGACGGTCCTGCTCGTGTGTGGTGGGACAAGGGGGCCAGGACGTGAGGTTTGCCTGCTCAAGCGATGCTTTTGGCCTCCCCTGGCACCAGGAGGACTCAGAGCTGGACCTCAACCTCTGCCTTGTGCTCTTCCACGTCCTCAGTTACACCAAAGCTTCCCCAGGAAAAGATTTTTCTTTCTTAACCAGAGGAGTTGCACTGAGACAGGTAAACTGAGGCAGAACACTCAAAAATCCCTTTCTTCCTGCTGGGACAGAAAAATTGCAGCAAAACAGTAATATGGAGTTTTCTTGAGATGGACGCAGGGAGAGGATGCACGGAGCTCATGACACGAAGGGGTTCACTGCAGCCATGTCGAAACAGGCTTTCTTCCTTTGCTCCAGCGAGTTCTGATTTCATTTTTACAAGCAATAATTACTTTCAGCCTCCCAACAAAACCAGCTTCAAAGCAGCCAGCCGGAGCTTTGTGCTTAGAAAATAGTGAAGTGGAACAACTTTGGCTGCTGCAAAACTCAAAAGTGAGCGATGCAGAGCTTGGCATCCCCTTTCCCAGCCCAATTTTGAGGATTTGATGTTTTCCAAGCACCTGTCAGCAGTGGAAAAGGGCAGAGAGGGAAGGCAAAGCACCTGCGAGCGCTGGTACCTGTGCTGGAATGGGAGAACTTGCTTTCCAGAGGCATCTCTCCTTCCTGCTCCATCCCATCCCAAGCCCACAGGTCCACAGCCCCACAGCTCTATTAAATCCTTCACTCCTCCAGCAGTTTCCTCGTTAAAGAACCCCTCCGAGTCCATGGGAGTGACCTAACCAGGGCCAAGAGAGTTCTGAGTGGGGCCATTTCCTTCAGTGCAAGGCTTGCTGTGATTCTGGGATGCTGCAATGGCCAGGGAAGGGTGGTGGGATGCTCGGAGCATCGTGCCGCAGGGCTGGAGGTGCCCACTTGTCCCATTTCCTCCTATTTTTGCTTCTGAAGCTAAATAATAAAAAAGCAGTGGGGATCCAAGCTTGGATCATGATGGGATTTTAACTGATTAGACCTCGGTGTCACCTTCCTTCGCTGTGTTATGTTACACCCCGTGTCGCCTTTCAGGGCAAGCTGGGCAGTTAACCTTTGTGCCGAGCGGCGCTGAGGGGGAAGTTCATTAGAGCAAATTAATTTGTAGGATGGAAATGACGGATTAGCTCAGCTCAGAAAATAAAGTAGTGCTGGAGATAGCTGGAAGAATCATAGAATCACAGACTGGTTTGCACTAGTTGGAACTAGATCACCTTGTGGCAACCCCCCTGCCCCGGGCAGGGCCCCCTTCCCCCAGCCCAGGGGGCTCCCAGCCCCGTCCAACCTGGCCTTGAACCCTTCCAGGGAGGGGGCAGCCACAGCTGCTCTGGGCACCCTGGGCCAGCGCCTCCCCCCCCGCACAGGGAAGGATTTCTGCCTTATATATAACCTAAACCTACTCTCTTTCAGCTTAAAACCGTCCCCCCTGGTCCCACCCCCACCCCCTGATCCCGAGTCCCCCCCCACCTTCCCTGTCCCCCCTCTAAGCCCTGGGAGGCCACTCTCAGGGTCCCCCCGGAGCCTTCTCTTCTCCAGGCTGAACCCCCCCAACTCTCTCAGCCCGGCCCCCCAGGGGAGCTGCTCCAGCCCCCCCAGCATCTCCGTGGCCTCCTCTGGCCCCGCTCGAGCAGCTCCGGGTCCTTCTGCTGTTGGGGGCCCCCGAGCTGGCCCCAGCACTGCAGGGGGGGCTCCCCAGAGCGGAGCAGAGGGGGACAATCCCCCCCCTGGCCCCGCTGCCCCCCCTGCTCTGGCTGCAGCCCAGGGCACGGGGCTGGCTCAGGGGCAGTTTTCCCCCCCC